TTTTTTTTCATCCTCTACTCTTTTTCGTTTTTTTTTTATATACTAAAGAAATAATAACAATATTTAAATGGGTGTCCCCAATTGAAATTGTAATGGATTTTAAAAATGATTTTGAATTTTGGTGTCTTTAATTGAGATTTTAATGAGTTCATTAAAATTTAGGTATATCCAATTGAGATTTAAATGAAAATCAATGAAATCTTTTAAAATTCAGGTATCCTTAACTAGTGAATTTTTTTAGAGATTTTAATAATAGAGGAATTTTAAAAGATTTGGATGTATTTTAATCTTAAATTACTTATAACCAAATCTCATGGAATTTGGGAAAATTTATTCAACTAACTGAAAATTCATTAGGATTTATAATCTTTCAAAATCCATCAAAATTTTAGTTGAGGACACCCTGTTAAATTGAAGATTTAACATAATGTTTAGCTGTTAACACTTAACCTCGAAAGCAAATAGCCCAAAATCTTTAGGCCTCACCCGTTTCTTTCCCCCCGATTTTCATCCATATAAATACTGGTTCATTCTCATATCCATTCCATTCCATTCTTTTTTCTCTGTCAAACTTGTCCTTGTTTTCTCAAATCTTGATATATAATTGCTGAATACCCGCTTTATCCATCATCATGGTATGTGTTTTTATTTTCTCCATTCTTTGTAACTTTTTCTTCATAATTACTTCTATAACACGTCTTCTTGATAATAACAGGAGAAGACCACTGGCAAGAGCAACGTTCGATATGAAGAGGTAAACCCTAGTTTTCGTTTTTCGTGTTTTACTGATTTTCACTCTTTGATAGTAAGTCTAATATAATATTAATTTTTCAGGAATATATATTGAATTCAAGAGGAATGAAACTTTTCACATGCAGATGGTTGCCTGTGCATTCCGAACCAAAAGCTTTAATCCTCTTGTGCCACGGATATGCCATGGAAAGCACCATATCAATGAAAGGTCGACAATAAACAAAGATTTTTAACTTTTTTTATTTTTTCATTCTTAATAACGTCGAGTCCAACATATTAATCGAGATCCACGATTTCGTTGAAAGATATATATTAGAATTAATAGGGTTTGGTTTGATTGGAACAGGGTGTGGAACTAGGCTAGCAAAGGCTGGTTATGGAGTTTATGGAATGGACTATGAAGGCCATGGAAAGTCATCTGGGCTTCCTGGTTATATTCCTAACTTTGAGGATCTTGTTAATGACTGTTCTGATCACTTTACCAGCATTTGTGGTAAGTAATTAACTTGTTCGATGGCGATATCTTGATAAATATTAAAATATTTACTTTCTAGTAGCTCTTCTTTAATCGTGTTCAGTCTAATGCTTTTTAGAATCAAGAGGCTTTGCAGGCTGACTGTGGAATTAATTTTATGCAGAAAGGAAAGGAAATATGAAAAAGATGAGGATTTTAATGGGAGAATCGATGGGAGGGGCAGTTCTACTCCTTTTACACAGGAAGAAGCCAAATTATTGGGATGGAGCCGTCCTCGTTGCGCCAATGTGTAAGGTATGTGTGTTCAATTTTGTTTATTATACTGTTTAATCATATTCAGCTCTGTTTGGTTCAGAAAAAAAATTCAATTTTTTGGTAATTTTGATAAAAGTTATTGAAATATGTAGTTAAAATTAAGTGTTGATTTTAACTTATATTTTAATCAGATTTTTAGTTGAACTAAACAAGGGCCATACTTCGGAATTTGGATCATGAATTCCAGTACCAATGACTGGTGGTACCATGTATTAAAATTTTAATAATTAAATTTAATCCTTATTTGACAACCATTAAAATGAGTTTTTTGAGGAAATAATTTTTCCAATGATGATTTTCAGAGAATGTGTTGTTAAAAAGTTTTGAATTTATATGCAGAATATTTTATTTTAAAAATGTATTGTTAAAAATGAACGGAAAAAAAACGGAATTTTGTTTAATGATTCTCAAGTTGGGACTTAGAACTCTCTGATAATCATAACCACAATGTCTCGTGGGAAGATGCGATGAAATTCCTTTAACAATAACTTTGACAAATTTTTAAAAATTACAATCTTGCTACAGTATATATATGTCGATACATGATTGAATACTTCAGGAAAAAGAAAAAGAAATAAAAAATTAGACAGGTGCTGCGTGTCACTCAATCCTATCAAAAGTCCCTGTCCGGGGAGCATTATTCAAAAATTTAAGAGGGCTGAAAACAATAACTTTGTAAAGGAGTTAGTGAAATCAATATTCAAAATAATAATTATTGTTTTTGAAATGTCAACTTGGTCAATCCGTCTGTGTCGTTGATTTTTGGGTTGCGCTACGAGTGTTTAAATAATTACAATTTGCTAATTTTCTTTACAGATTGCTGACAATATACGACCACATCCAGTGGTTGTGAATGTTTTGAGCAAGCTTTCTTGCGTCATTCCAACATGGAAAATTATTCCAACTCCAGATATCATTGACATCGCCTTTAGGGTTCCAGATATAAGGGACGAGGTAAACTTTCAATTTTTCTCCTTTTATATTCAGGTTTCTTCTCCAAGTTGTTTTATACTTTCAAGTAACCTAATTATAAGTTGTAAATAATTATTTTTCATTACAAATTGACAGATTAGATCAAACCCATATTGTTACAAGGGAAAACCTCGTCTACTCACTGGCAACCAACTCTTAAGAGTCAGCTTGGATTTAGAGACGAGACTTAAAGAGGTTTCACTTCCATTCTTGCTTGTTCATGGAGGAGACGATAAAGTCACAGACCCGTCTGTTAGCAAACTTCTGTACGAATCAGCTTCAAGCACAGATAAGACCTTCAAGTTGTATCCAGGAATGTGGCATTCTCTGACCTACGGGGAGTTGCCTGAGAATATTGAAATAGTGTTCTCAGATGTCGTTAATTGGCTTGACGATAGAATTGCTATTGGGAATTCGAGACTGGAAATAGAGCAAAAGCACGGTAATGACATTTTGCTCAAAAATTGAGCTTGTTCAACTTCGAACAATCTCCACAAGACTTTCTTGCTCAGGGACGAGACGAAGTCTTAAAACATCTCGTCTAAGGACGGACAATTGTTTTCGACCATGTAATGTGTAGCATTTCATCTTGTAAAAGCTAAAAAAAGTTGTTTTTAAATTGGTATAATTCTTGAAACTTCTAATTGTAATAAAATATGTTCTCATTCATCACAACTTTGTTTATATACAATTTTTACAAACTTTAAATACATGTTTGGTTTATTATATAAAATGAATTAGCGAGAATAATTTAAAATATATTTTTTGAAATGGGGATCAAGTTGATATGCATGACAAACTTTATGGTACACTCACTCTTGTCCCAATACACATAAAAATAATTTAATAATAAATTTTCTCTACATGAATGAAAATTTAAGGAAATAGATGATGCGATATAGAAATAAACAAATGAATAAATAAACCTTTGATTTGTACATTAGGAATACATAGGTGAGACAATATTGTTTGTTTTTAAGGAAGAACGCAAATGAAAAATTACAAATAAACACCAGAATAGTTGATAATGAAATTGGCTACTCGAAAACCAGACAAGAAGGAAGAGATCCCTATGAAGAGGAAGCCGGCGATTCCTAAGGCTATGGAAATGTTCGATTGAATGCCAATGATACCCCTGCTGAAGTACCACATCGTATTTGTATTGGGTACTAAAGTATCCCCAAATTATTTAGAAAAAGGGACTGTGTGCCCCCATTTGACAAAATTTGAACACATATTTTATTAGATATTGCTAGTTCTTTGAAGTATCAAAAGTTAGCAATAAAACCACGTAATAAAAAAATTTCATTTCAGCGATTCGAGTTCTTAGTACATAAGTCTATCTAATATTTGACATATTAATAAAGAAGTAAAGAGACATAAAAATGTAAATTCGTGCTTAGTTCAATATTAATGAATTTAACATATTAGATTGTCTCTAAATATTTATATCACATAGAGGTAATTCTTATCTCAAGTCAATTTTTGATCACCTCAACATATCAAATGATTTTGGGATTTGCACGAGTCCTAAAGTGTAAATTAGACCAAGACGACCAGCATTTGCACGACATGACATGTTCTCTATGGTTAAGGTTTAACCAATTTGAAGTCCTCATGTTATAGTTGGATTTTAGGACAGGGAAAGCTTTCTTGGGAAATTTTCAAGTGTTTCTTTTAGAAACAATCCTCCATGGCAATCTTTGCATTGAGCTGTGCATCCCAGGAGAGAATAATCTATTTTGATCCTTAAAATAGATGCCGAACTTTGATGGTGGAAGAATTGATATATATATATATATATATGTTAAATTTGATTCTGAACTATTCAGTTTTGTAGATAGAAACATGTTTGTTAATAGAAAAATAGAACAAAGTTATGTATCCTGCTAGTACTTATCACAGTCGAGGTGGCAATGGAATCTTTAAATGTTGTTTATGGCATTACTCATAGATATGTGCTTGGCTGCCTAGGCTCAAAGTGATATGGCACATTCCGAGGCTCAGACAGTGAGACACATACCATGCTGTGATCAAACTTGACTTTTTATACAGTCAATTTTGGTCCATTTTTTCTTTTTTTAATATAAATTTAAGGGCAAAAATGTTCATCCCACGTTAATGATGGCTAATTTGTTTTGGGTTGAGGGTATGAGTGTCAAGAGATAAAGAATAAGGATAGAAGTGCCAAAGAAGGTAAAGGCTGGGGACGATAGCTGCAAATTACCCTAATTTTTATTTAAATTTTATTCCCGGCTTTTGATTACAAGAAGCTGGTAATACAGAATTTTGGAAGTTTGTCAAGTGTATGTTCGGCTAACCATGAAAGAATCTCATACTCGTAATTTTTATTAATTTTTAAATATTTTTAAATCAACAAAAGACGTGAAAAAAAGCAAATAAGCTTGAAGGCAATAGATGTAGTTGAAGGTGTTTTCGTCCAGTTAAAACCATGTATAATATTTAAAGCTATCTTCTTGCACTATCACTAAATCAAAATTGATTTTTTTTTTTTTTTTTTTTTAAAAAACCCCAAAAAGTTCAAATACACTTTTTTTTCAAGAAACTCCAAAAAGTTCAAGTACACACCTATAAAGTAAAAATTTCTACGCAACAAGGTATATGGTAGATATATTCATGTTACGTTTTTAATAACTGCAACACAATTTTAATTGCGTAAAATGTCTATAACATTAATTATTATCACATGTATTTTCTCGACTTTTTTCATCTCATTTTTATTCTCAAATAAACACAAGGTGCCCTAGTTCATAGTTTTGTTCAAAAAATTTGTAAACATGGAGTAAAAAAAAAAAAATATTTATCCCTTTAATTTTTAAATGAGCCAAAAAATACCAAAAAATAGATATTTTTCCCTCATATTAAATAAACTATCAGTATTTTTGAATAAAAAATTGATTGGGGACAATATTTGCTAGTTAATTGAATGGAAAAAAGATAAGAATACGATGAGAAAAAAAAGTTAAAAATAAAAAATCATAAATAGAAGATGAATAAATGTTAAAGACCTTAATGAATGTAATTAAAATGTATAAATTTAAAAAAAAAAATGTGAGACAACTAAATTACTATGTAATTACGTATGGACTTTTGACATGCTTGTCCTAAATTCCTAATCCTAGATAAACGACAATCATGCCTTACGACTTACGAGGAGAGTATATGTCCATGTATATAAGTTACCAATTTACACATTAATTTGCATATGCACAAAGGCAAGTTTTCTTGTGTTGAAGCAATGGTTAATTTCAGTTTGAGTTTTCTAATTTTCATTTAGGGTGTGTTTGATTACATTTATTTTTCATGGAAAATATCAATTTTCCATTCAAGTGAAAAATGGCCGAAAATTCCCATATTCTTATTCCTAAAAATAGATGTCATTGAGATAAAATATATCAATCCGACCGAGTAACTGTTAGGCAAATCGGCAGTTGATTAAGTCTCCGAATTTAGAGAGAACCTTTTTTTTTTTTTTTTTTTTTCATATTTTTGAATTTTTACTAAATAAATATTTTCCGTAAAAGAAAAAAAATACTAAAATCAATTCTACTTCTTTTATTTTGTATTTGTATTTTTCTTATCATGAAAACCTAAGAAACTATTGATATTTTCAACTTACTATCAACATACACTTTATTATTATAATTTACAGTCAACTAATCCAACTAATATTCGTACACATGGAAAACAAATAAAACAACTAATTCGCCAAGTTTTCCATATTCTTCTTAGTGAGTAAAAATCGTATCTTCTGCTGCATGGTGATTTCTTATTAAGCCCTTGTTTGAGCACCATTTTGAGGGAAAAAATGTATTTTTGAATAGTGTATTGATGAAAAATGTGTGGTTAAAAAAATAAGAAAAAGTTTTGAATTTGCGTATAATATTATTTTATTGAAAAATATGTGGTTGCAATGATGTCAAAATACTATTTAAAAATACTTTTTTTTTCTTTTTTTTATAAAGAATGAGGCTCAAATAAGGGTTAAATAAAGATAGTAAAATTCCCTCTTCTTCTTCTTCATTTTTTTTTTCAATTATCTTATTGTGTTGAGGTGTATCAAATACTAACATTCTACATTTTTCTCAATTCTTCGTGCACCACTTCGTGCAATTTGAATATTGAAATCATAAATATTATATACTTTTTAGTATAAATTTTTAAAATTGCAAGAGTTAACTGAATATTTTCAAAAGGAAAATAACAGCCCAATTTTTACTCTTGATTAAATAGAAAGACCTTTTTTGTTTCGTCAATTGTAAAAATGTTGTGTAAGAATTTTTCGAAGGAGAGATTCTAAAATGTTAAGAGACGAAGAAAATGCATTGTACTATATATTAAACAAAATAGACACTTGTAAGGAAAGTGGTATAATATGTGTAGAAGGTTGTAAATACATCCTTCTTAAAATCTTCTTGTAATATCTATGTAAATAATTCTTGAGAGTTAACATCATCATATGCTCAATTTGATGTTCATCGTCCATTCTGAGGAGGTATAAATATTTAAGGCCAAGGGAGCCTTATTTCTAAACAATCTGAGTTGAGTGAGAATGAGTGTGATGCAACACTAAAAGTATTTTCGATGCAAAGAATTGATTTAAATTAATTACAATTTAAAATTTTAATTCTATTTTGCGTTCGACTAGGATTAATATCTTAGTTAGTTTCCTATTCATATTAGATTTTTGATTAATTTCATTCTTAATATAGGATTGATTGTGTCTTGAATACAAACTTTTTCCTCTCTCAAATTCTTCTCAATTATCATAAATTGCTTATTGTGATTTTTGTTTATAAGTTTTTTGCATCAATATGGTATATGATCTTACTTTTTCCTCTAATTGAAATGTTCATCACGTGTTAAGTTAGGCAATTTTTTCAATGAAATTATTGTTCATGCACATGTATTACTGTTTTTCCCCCAAAAAAATTATGGAAAACAATTTGTGTTGTGCAAGGAATTCTCGTTCCTATCAATCTAACTACAATAGCCCACATCAAACCCCATTCATTAAAAACCTAAAACCTGACAACTTAAACAACAAGAAACATCTTACTAGCCAAATACACAATAGGCCATTGAAAATCTCTTCACAATCTCACGTGGCAAATATTTTACTTGTCATCTTTGCCATCTCTTGCAACAACCCTCTTCTCTGAGCATCTCTACTATACCCAGACAATGCTGGAACCAGATAGCAAAATTTGAGGTTCTCGATTGTTTTCGATAACACACCACACTTTTTATATTTTATAATACTTAAATATAACATTCTTATTGATAATGTTATAAAATAAAGTTAATTTTATCAAAAGATAACATAATAACATTCATTAAAAAGTCCAATAAATTACGTGGCCCAAAATGTTTCCCTCCATCATATTACCCCTATATTACTCTTGCCTTCTCAACCCTTATTTCTTTATTTCATTGAATCACGCCTCTCACTCATTCCTGTCTCTCTCCCCCTTTGATTGATTTCATGTTTTTATTTCAACAAATCAATTCATCTCTTCCTTTCCCTCGTTTCATTTGCCCTTTGATCTCTCCCTTGACCTTATCCGGTCCAATTCCATGCTTTTAATGCTCGAAATTTTTTTGTTTCACTTTATAGTTTTTATTGAAAGATCATTTTAAAATTCCATGCTTTTTATGCTCGAAATGTTTTTGTTTCACTTTATAATTTTTAGGGAAAATTGCAGCAGAGGCCTCAAACCTTTAAAATATTAGCAGATTTTTTCCAAACCTTTAATTTATTGCAACCGTTATCCCAAACATTTCGAAACGTTGCAGCGGAGGCCCCTTTGAACGATTTTCATCCAAATGTCTGTTAGTTGACTAGAAATTTTGACCTTGACCATATTTTTAATATTTTTGAAAGGGTAATATAGTAACTTCCCATTTATTATATTAAAATAAGTTAGAAATTAAATTAGGAAAAATAAGAAATAAGAAATTAATTAAAAAAATGGGTTTTATATTTATCTGCACATACATATGTTTATGGGTGCCTGTGTATTTATTTGTATTTGTGTTTCTACGAGATTCTTTATGGGCTTCGAGTTTTGTGAGATTTACACAAAGATGTGTGTTTATGCATAAATTTGCAAGATTTTTGTGATTTATGTTGTTCTTGTGGGGTTTTGGGTTGTTTAGAACGTTGATATGCAATATTCATATGTTAATTTTTCTGGGTTTTGTTTTTGTTGCAGGATTTGTTCTGGTGTGGTGTGTTTTGGTGGATATCTCATAAAGCAATCATTAAATTTTTCTGCAATACTCATTCTCTATTTCTTGAGTTTTCATTTCTCACTATTGATTTGGGTTTTTATGGTTGGGGATGGAGGTGGAGGTGGCGGTGGCGGAAATCGATTTTGGGTTTCTGGTGGGGTGGGGTGGGGTGAGAGGAAGAAGACAATTAACTTCTTTTTTTTTTTTAATTTATTGTTTCTTATTTTTTCTAATTTAGTTTCTAACTTATTTTAATGTAATAAATAGGAAGTTACTATTTTACCCTTTCAAAGATATTAAAAATATGGTCAAAGTCAAAATTCCTAGTCAACTAATAGATATTTGGATGAAAACCGTCGAAAAGAGCTTCTGTTGCAACGTTTCGAAAAGTTTGGGATGACGGTTGCAACAAATTAAAGGTTTGGAAAAAGTCTGTTAATATTTTAAAGGTTTTGAGCCTTTGCTGCAATTTTCCCTAGTTTTTATTGAAAGATCATTTTGTTTGTTTAATATTACAAAAGAGAAGGAGAGAGAGAGCATTCTTTGCAAACCATTTTCAACAAATCACTTTCTGCTAGTATTAAAAAGATTTTATTTATTTTATTTTTTATTTTAAGTGTTTTTAATTTAAAGTAGCTTTTACTTTAGTTCCTATCAAAAAATAATAAATAAATGAAAATAAAAATATAAAAAATGAAGCCTAAGGAACTTGAACAGTCGCATAATGCTCTCTAACAACAATTGACTTAAGCTTCTTGTTCATACGAGACTCTCGAGCAATAATGTAAAAGTCCTATATATCAGTGATATGGATGATCGTTTATGTCAAGTTAGTAGAATCCATAGGAGTTGGGTAATATCGAAACCAAAAGACCTAGATCCTAGTGTACCGAACCAACGATCAAGAACGTCAATGATGCATATCATTTTGTTTTGCCTACTGTTGAGTTCAACTACAATAATTATGTCAACATGTAAATCGTTAATGACCATAGTATAGGTTTTCTTATCACACCAACCATTTGATCTTGTTCCTTTGCTTACTGATTTTTTTTCCCATAAATTTCGTTCAAGATTTTGCTGATCACGTTATCAGTTGTACCATAAAATTAAATGTAAAATTTTTCGAAGTAATGTTTACTATAAAATTATAGTTGATTTACATAGCAGACAACAATAATTTAACGTAGGCAATTATTTAATTGTTGGACTTGGTCCAAAACTTTTTTCCGTACATGATACGAAAAATTATGTGTTAGATCAGTTTGCCTTTCCTCTTTGGTAAAAGACAGGGAACTAATTTATATATTCTTGATTTCCAACGTACTCAATAATTATAAAGGCAAGTTTCGGCCTCTGGTCTTGCCATCTTCTATATTTGTAGGTCAAGCTCCTTGCCAACCCCTCGAGCTCTAGCTGCCACGTTTTCCCTTCAAGATATCATTGATGGGGTGCTCAAGGATAACATGTTGTTGCTTTGATTTGTAGGTTTCTAATAAATTAGAAAAATCGTCGGCCGGCAATGTTACTTGAATTAATGAAGATGAATTTCACCAAATGGATGTTTATCTAGACTATAATTCGTCGGATTCAAATTCTTTGCAGTCATGGAGAAATGATGAAACACTAGAAGTGTATTCGAGGAGAAAAAGGGAATAAAATTAATTACGTTTTGAGAATATGATTATTTTCTCAGTTAATTTCCTATTTAGATTAAATTTTTAATTAATTTCCTACGGAGCTAATTATGATTGTTTAAACCCATTTAAATAGAGGTTAACTCTTAATTGTAATCACACTTTGGTTGTTGAATAAAAACTACTTATCTCACTAATTTCTCGCTTCTTTCTCTCAAATTCTTCTCAATTTTCATAAATTGCTAATTCTGATTCTGTTTATGAGTTTCATATGTCAAAGTGTTATTGTAATATTCATCGAGTTTACCCACATATTGCAATTTCTCTGAAATCCCGTACAATATACATTAAATAAGTTAAAAATAAAAAAAAATCGTTGGAATTCATCATCCGTACTTCATTAGTGATTTGAGAATGGCTAGAGCCCCCACCTGGACCTTAATGTGATCAATAGGTCAACCGGCAGCTCCTTGCTATTTTCATGCAGATCGATTCCATCGCTAAGTTAGCACTGCGTTGTGACTGCAAATCTGTTAGTATAAATGGCGACCAATGATCATAGCATGTCGACGATTATGAACGAAATTGTTGCGTAATCATTGACGCCAATGATATCAGTTTCAGTAATTCCGTCGTAATTAACATGTCAAATTACCTATAATAATGTTATCGACAATCATTGATGCATATTTTTTGGTGATTATTTTGCCCCATTTAATTTAATTTATTTTTTATTTTTTAAAAAAGACCCCCTCATAAATTTTGCATAAGGCCTCTGAATTGCTTGAGTCGTTCCTGATATCAACTTTGCTATTTGTTGTCAGATACTGAAGATTTAATTGGGAAAAGTGCGATCTCTTTCTCCTTTTACAAGGCTTCTGCATGGGAAAGCCAATGCTCTAACGGGTTTACTAATGATCGAATTTTTGCGATAACAAGAGATTCACTAAAGAATCACGAGTTAACGGGTTTACTAATGATCTTCTGATTTTTTTCTTAGCTTCTGAGTGCGAACATAAGAGTATTAAGTTATAGGTTTTTTCTTGTTTTCCAGTCCTACTAGGACGGTAAAACTTATAGCTCCCTCAATGAGGTGGGGGCCCGTGCCATTTTTTTATTAGCTCAGGCCCCCTGATATGAGGAAGCTGTGAACCATGTTGTGTGCCGAGATTTGCACACAGCATGGCTCTAAGTTATATATTCATAGTTGGGTCCAAGGAAAATGATTCTGCAGTCATACCCGGTCAAGTACCCGTGCTTTAAAACGCTAGATATTTGATCGTATTTTTGCAGTATTATTTATTTTGCTTATTCAAAAATACAATGGACAAATGAATCTTTTTACTCTATCTTCTTCTTCTTCTTATTATTATTTTTTATTTTTTTAAGAGAAACCATAATCTAGATCAATTTATGTTCATTTGATAATAAGAATGCGATGAAAAATGTTTGAACATAAATGTGATCACGCATAAAGGTTATAAACCTTTCGTGCAATTAATATGTAATCTATTTATTAAAAATTGTAGTATAAATATATTTAGCCAAAAGTAAGACCCTTGTAATGACATTATTATCAAACTAGTTCATTTATACAAAATGTTTATAAACATTCGAATTACTTTTTCTCATACATTTTGATTTTCGACGAACTCAAATTACTGAGATCTACTTAATTTAAATCTTCGTGCAAATTTAAAAATGAACCGAACAAAATAACGAGAAAGGATGTATGTAGCAAATTCAAAATTGCTGATAATTCATATTTCTCTTGATTTGCAGAAGTCAAAAAATTGAACCTACTTTGCCAAAATTGTTGTTCAGACATATTGAATGTATGAAACCAAATATTTCAGAAAAATGGAAAAGCTTATTCATCATCTCTGCACACCAACTCTATTGCAAGTTCATCGAACAAAAAACTCTCTAATTCTCTAACAATGATATTAACATCTTCCTCCAACTCAAACCATTTCATTTCTTTCTCTATAACCTTTCCTGACAAGTCTTCGTTCTTTTCCTTGTCCTGGCTAATTAGATATTGCCACAATTCTTCTTCGACCTCATTCCGGTTTAATGTCGTACTAAGCCTTCTTCTTACAGGCATTGTGTACTTGTCGAAATCAATGTGCGGAATAGTAATAATCTCTTTCAACCCGGAATTTATACGATCAAACAGAAGCTTCCTCTCAGACTTTCTCCATAATGTCTGCTTACTATACTTTTTCTCTAATGCCTCGAACACCAAGGGGCTTACTGCGTATTCCTGTGAATTAAATGTCTTAGAAAAGTTGACTAGGTCCACATGATCAAAGTCTGCCTCGTCTAAAACATCGAGCAGGTAAGAGAAGTCCCGACTTTCTTCATAACCAAACGACCACTGGAGAATTCCGCCATTTTGACAGAGATCATCAGACTCTTTCTTCATATCCTCGTCGCTTGTTACAGCAATCTCAGAACCTTCGGAGGCAGTTTCTTCCGACTCGGAGAGACCTAGAAGTCATGAAAAGCTTGGATCTTAATTCAACTTGAAGTTTTGTAATGTTAACAGAAAGTTCAGTTCACTTACTGTCAAAACCAGTAGCTACACTCTCAAAGCATTCCGATGTAGAAGAATTCTCTATTTCATGTGGACTTAGAACCGAATCAGGGCTATACTGATTTACACCATTCAAAGGCTTATGAAACTCTTCCTCGGACAATTCCTGCACCAGAATCAAAGCATAAGCTATGGACAGCCAGGGAACATATTTTATGTAGAATCATGCTTTTTGTACAATAATTTTTACAACAAGTTTGACAACATAATACGTGACAAGTTATCATTGGACAGTTTGAAAAATACTTTATCTTTCCCATCAACACTTTTTTGACACCTACATCATTGTCAAGCATGTTGTACAAATCCATTGTATAAATGGCTTATTCCTTTTGTGTAAGTTATATAGAATGCTGTATGAGAGGTATACAGAGAAACAGGGTAAATCCTATACAAAGATTGTATAAAAAAATAAAAGTAAATAAAAAAAAGTATCATGGGCAATATCTATGATATAAAGAGCAACCTGAAATAGAAAGTTTTCATTTCAAAAGAACGTGATGGCAAAAATGTTTATCATGCTTCTGGGCTTCAATTATGAACATCAACGAATTGAATATCACTACCTATAGTGCCACGATATAAAATCAAGAGTCCCATTATCCATAATCCTATATAACAGCAAACATATAATAATGCACTGAAAAGTAATATACATCAGCTGGCATAAGAAAATACTCCATGAAAATGAATTTGGAGAAGAATAGCTGAGGAAAAATGGATAAGACGCAAAAGATAAGCCTTTTCCATTCAAGATTTTTCAAGATATTGCGACAAAAATATCCAGGCAAATAATAATCTTAAAAAGAGAGAACACACCTGTTGAGTGAAAGCTTCCCAACCATCACAATAATGTGCATCAATCACTGAAAAGATGCCTGGATTTTGTTCAGAATTCTTGTCCTTATTGATTATAGAAGAAATCCCCAGGTTTGCTAATTTTGTCTCAACTGTACTTAGAGAGGCAACATGACTATTTGATAGCCTTGAAACTCTG